CTTTGATGTTGTGCATGTTAGGATGTACATCTGTAAAGGGTAAGTTTTCCTAAAGTATTTGGAAATAAAAATGCTTATACCGTTATTAAAATAAAAGTAAAATGAATGCAGGGATATATGTGCAGTATGGTACATGTATAAAGAGGAATTCCTCCTTATCTTCTCAATTGTATGTTTGCATTGCAGTATACAAATAACATACTGCATATTTGCTGCTCATCAACTGCCGAATGGGATGAAGGATTCCTCGAGGAAGGGTTCATCTCAACCTTCTATTGCTCACAGTGATTTAAAAACTAGGGTCCAGATCCCCAATTCTGGGCATACAAATAATTTTGACAAGAATAGAAAATTAGGAGACTTGGTGCGATTTCATGGTTACTTGATAAGAATTGCTTACTTCTTGATCCCGATCCGATTCGGGCAATTTTGAATGAAAGCAGCGATTTTTCAAACTTGATGATGAATATTGAAAAGAATACACTGTGCTTAAAAGTACATTGAACGTTCCCTGTGGGACAATGTTCTATAGTCAATGAAAAAATAATGAGGAAGATGGATGGTGCATTATATTTTTATTTATATTCAATAATCCAAACATACCATGGTTTACTTTTTTTAAACGGAACTTATTGGGACAAGTGGTAGAAGCTTATGGGGTATATATATCAGCTATTAACTAACTCCAAATTTTAATAAAATAAAAGAAAGTACGCGAAGAGACCAATTATTTTTAATATAAAGAAATCACACTCACTTTTATACATTATATTTTAAATTGGAGGGTTGTGAGTATATCATCGATTAACTCCAAATTTAAAACAGAATTTTTTGAAGTTTATAATATATCCCAAGCCGTCCAATTTGATATCTGAAGTTTATATATACCTAATGGGTAGTATCAATTACGACCTCTTTGTACCAAAAACAAAAGGTCTCATAGTATACAATCTCATAAAATAATTAGAAGAATGACAGCGTAGCTCTTCCCTTTTTGGTGATTGTGTGGATTCTCTCTTCAACTATTGGATTGGATATTTGATCGGTGATGAGAAGGTATAGTGGCTATGAAATGGAGTAAAAAATCTACCATTGGGTATATCCTTGATCCAATGGTTCGAGAGTGATTTCTTTCCTTCAACCAAATGTGAGAGATGTTTTACTAGATCATTTGCTAATGAAGAGGTGACCAAATATTGTACATAATGTTAATGTCCTTTTACCCAACATTCATCGTTCATATTTATATGTGAATTATATAGGCTGCTAAGTTACCATTTTACCCATGTGGTTTCACTTTCCATGTTTTCCCAAATTGTCCTTTTCGAATCATTTTGAGGATTATATAGTACCAAAACCCTTACATACTGCAAATGGGAGAACTCGTTAATGAAGGGTGATTTTGCTATTGTTGTGGGTTATTAGATCCTTTTTGGTCATTTTACTCAACTATATTAAAAAAAATAAAAATAAAAAAATATAAAAAATGTCCTTTTCGAATCATTTTGAGGATTATATAGTACCAAAACCCTTACATACTGCAAATGGGAGAACTCGTTAATGAAGGGTGATTTTGCTATTGTTGTGGGTTATTAGATCCTTTTTGGTCATTTTACTCAACTATATTAAAAAAAAATAAAATAAAAAAAAAAAGAAAAGCAAGATTTTATGGTGATTTTCTATGCATTGGAAAATTACCAGAGCTGACATTACTGCCTCCACCTGCGCCTGCTATGAATAATCCCTGATATAATAAATAATAAAATAAATGAAAAATAATGGTGCAAAATAAGGAAATTGATTAGAAAGTAGATATGAAGGTTATGGATTTTTTGAACCTGTGCTCTGGCTCTTTGAAGGTCTTGTTCTAGTTGGGTCAACTTTATTTTGCTAGATTCAAGCTGCTGCACATAGGCCTACAAAGATAGATATAAATCAAAACAACATAAAAAGAAATTTGCAAATGCTAGAATCCAAACAGTTGTGGACAAACATTCAAGGGAGAGAGAAGAGGAAAATAATTTCAAATTATAGTTGGAGAAATGTCAATGCATATTCATCCCCTTTCCTTTCAAGCTCAAAGAGGGGGAGAGATATATTTTGGAAACAAATTATCCCAAAAGTTGGAACTTTTTGTGTTATATTACAATGAACCGGTAATAGTATCAAAGTTCAAACAAATACTGAAAATTAAAAGGTACAGTTATTATAAGGCCTAGGTCTTATATGCAACAAGTAAAGCCTCACCATTAGAAATATCTATGATAGCTATAAAATCAATTTCCACCACAAATTATGAAATTTATAGCTCAAAAAATGATATAGGTCTTGAAAACTCGTCAACACTTAAAAATAGATGATCTAGATAATGTCCTATGATATATACTTATTTTTATAACTTGAAATCCTAATTTTTTTTCACAATGATAATGGTCAAAGTCAAGATGACCGATTTGAAGGTTTTTCGGTGTCAATCTATAAAAACTGTGGTAAGACTTACTTATTTTGATAGGACTGCAGCTTTGTCATCATATTTTTTAATTAAGAAAAGTGTGAGCATTATTGACTATCTCACCTTCTTTCTAAGTCTGCTCTTCTTAGCTGCCTCCCTATTCTGAGCCAGCCGCCTAAGAGTCTGCAATATATAACCTAATCAAATCTTCTAAATAGTACCCTAATAATAATAGGGATTGTCTGTAAAGAGACCATTTATTTTTATTACAAGGAGGTCACAACTATTATCACTCGTTAGATGTCAAATTGGATGGCTTTGGTGAGTCATGGTCTAAGAATTTTTTTTTTTTTTCGAACTTTATATCTATTACAACCATCCATTTTGAAATTTAAGGGACAAGACTAATTGTGACTTTCTTGTATAAAAAGTAAAAAATATCTTTGTATACTTTTCCAATAATACCACCGTGCATGTCAACTTTGAATAACTTATAAAAAACCAACTATTATTTCTGAGTATTTATATTTTGAAAAGTATTCCTTGTAAGCACCTTAGCATCTAATGTCTTGGATCCTACTCTCTCAGTACTTGAACTTGCACCTCTCTGCAACATCAAAGAAAAAGAAATTACAATTCACAATTATCAACAATTGTCTAAAGTTCTATAGGATTTCGGTCCAGACTTTTGAAGAGCGAAAAAGATAAATAAAATTTAATTTAAGGTTGTGTTTGACTTTATATTGGCATTTTTTATTAGAATATTATTGTTTAAAGGATTGAATATTGATTAGTAAGAAAAATATTCTTTTCTCACCACAGGATGAGAATTTGGGTTTGGGTTTCATTTTCATGTCATTTTATTATTAAATGTCAACAAAATGTGGGTTTCATTTTCACATCATTTTTTAATTAAATGTCAACAAAATGAAACTAAAATACAGGTGTCACTGCTTATTATGGTGATAGACGATACAATAATTTTGTAGAACAAGCAAATTGATATTAGCAAAATCCCCACAAAGAATCATATTAATAAGGGATAAAGTGCTTAAATGCCACTTAAAGTTCTAGTAAACATCACTTAAATGTCAATGAAATTGATGTTTAGAGTCCAAACATGAAAAAGTGTGACTAATGATCCAAAATATCAAATCATGGGGGCCACTAAATAGAAGTTTCGCGTAATGTGCATATAGTCAATATCAGCATATAGTCAATATCAAGCCAGACTCCAATTAATCAAATAATTAAAATTAGAAAAAGTTTATATAAGGTTGCAACCTTATCTATTGATATAAGTTTCACTTTAAAAATCCTAAAGAAGTGAGTGTTCGCATTGGAGGACTCTCTAATTGATCATCTCGACTTTGAAATGTATGGACATGAAGAAAAAAAGGAATTCCAACTCCAAAACATAGTGCAAGTTATTTGGACCGTCCATTTTCAAGAATTTCAAAGTGTTTATTGATATGCTTGATCTACACCATTTCTGAAATTTGAAATTTTATAACTTAAAACGAAAATTAATTATCAAGCCATCATAAAGTTTCCATTACCAAAACAACTTCTCAAAGCATATTTTATCGGTGCACCTTACTTCTACAGTATAAGTATAAGGAAGCAGCCTTATACAAACCTCACACATTAAATTAGCAAAGAAGGACATTAATGAACATAATGATCTCAATAATGTGTCAACAGCAGGCTATTATGTCAACAAAAAAATACATAAAAATAACACTCTTGGTGATTTTAGAGAGAGAGAGAGAGAGAGAGAGAGAGAGGAGGGTGGTG